GGGGGGGGCACATGAACAATTTGGGGGGGGCACATGAACAATTTGGGGGGGCACGTTAGCAATTCCCAATCTGGAAGGAGGGGTAGTGAGATCATTCACTCGGCGCATTCTGCCCACAATCGGCCGATGCAACGCAGAGCATCAGGGCAACGCTGATCTACCTATGCCATGGCGGCTGTGGCGCGGTCTCCCGCGAGATACGGGTTTGGCCCGATGCCTTGCCCGTCAGCCGAAAGAGCCAAATACAACAGCCCTTCCCCTAGGCTGATTTTCCTGGTCCAACAGCGAGTTCTCAAACGTAAGCAGCAGATGCGATGTTCGGACAAGAAGCTCTGCGAATTTTCGCATCAGCAATCGTCCCGAGAAATCACCACTCCGGGTGGAAAGTGTCGTGTCCCTTACCTTCGTACTCAATGTCGTAGCTGACGGCCGTCTCTTCATCCGCGCGGATGAGTATGGGCGTGTCTCGTCTGAGCTTGCGCTCTCTCACACGAAACTTCAGTCCTACATTCTTCGCGGAACCCACCCAAAGCAGCCGCTTGCCATCGGCTATGTCTTGGTCACTCAGCGTCGCTTTGCCCTTTCCGGACGTGCTCACGCCTGACGAGGCTTGTAAATCGGGTATGTGACTCGCTGCCGGCAATGCCACCTCCTGCAGCCATTCTCGAAAGACCCTCAAAACACTATCCTCGACTTCCACAAAGCTGCGGAATAAGCCACGGCGTGGGCCAAGCTTGACCAGGTTGATCACGGCACAGAGCTGCGTGAAACGCTCTTCGCTGTCCAGCGAGAGCACTTGCCGGACGAGCTCATCGTCATTGTAGCCACCACCGGTGTATTGGGGCTCAGAGGTGGACGGATGCGTCCGCGATCCGGGGATATCGCCAGGTCGTGTCCGTGCAGAGCGTGCCTCGGGGCCCTCTCGATACGGTCGGAACCGCGAGTATCGGTGACGCAAATATCCAAGTCGCCCGACTAGGTCCTCCTCATCGAAGTCGGGGTCAGGGACTTCGAGCCCGTTTGTGCCCAGGTATCGGCAATACAAAGGCGGTTCTGTAAGCTTGGCGCTGGGGTGGTAGCACTCGAGCAGGAGCGTGTGATTCCGCTCATGCAGGTTGGCGGCGGCTATCAGACGGTTGTGAACGATGCGGAGGATGACGGCATAGAATCGGTGAGCCACGGTAGTCAGCGGCAGCAGATCAGGCGTTGGCAATGAATTGAGGATGTGGATAAGCAGCTGCCATGAAGCTTTCCAATTAGCATCAATTGCCTAGGTTAGGATGTGATGCGGCATACCTCATTCGGCAATGAGAGGAGCTCTTTGACTTCGGCCGGACGTGCCATCTCTGCGTACAGATCAGTGACGTTGGGGATATACGGACGAGAGGAGCTTTGGGGCTGCATGGCGTTGATAAAGGGCGGATGACGTTGATCGGGGGGCGATAAGCAAAGCCCTCGGCCTAAACCCATTATGGTAATGGGGTTTCGTCGTGTGGCTCTTTCCTCGCGACGCGACTCCCATCCCGTGCAGACGCGTTTTTCGTAGCCACGCGAGACTCGAGGCCCAATCTCGCTCAACCTCTAGACAGATTGACATTGCCTGTCGAGTCTCCGGAGTCATGCATCAATTCCTCAACCGTGGAGGTCGCACGGCAAGCCCCGTGCCTAAACGCTCGCACACACCTCCCGGAAGGCCCTCTGAGGCGGAGCGCCGTCGCTTGGGACAAGCAGCCAGAGTGGATGTCCCTGTTGCTGACTTCGACGACACGATGCAGCGTGGCCAGAACCGACAATCGCCGCAGCGAGACATAAGCCGACAAGGTCAGCGGCCTGCAGTTCAGCCTACGGCGCACCGTCAGACGGCGCACCTGCACAACTACAATGCTTTCGACACGGATGCAGAAAATGCTGATGACACGACCATTACGAGCTTCTCGGATGAAGGTGCCCAAGGCAACTTGGGACAGCAAAACTTCTATGATAACCCGAACTTCCATGTCCAGGAAGATCAAGAAAGCATCAACGACAATGAGTCTCACTTCGCAGACGGGGAGTCAGACGATAGTCAGGGACCTCTCATGCACGAAATGCTCTATGCAGCGCAGCGCAAAATAGGGGAGGGCAAGAAGCTCCCAATGGCCCAGTCATATCCTAGCACGACTATTCCAGACGACTATGATGAGGGAGAAGAGGACGTAGAAGGTGACTATGATGGTGACGAGCAACACGGGCCCCAAAGCCCTGAGCTCAAAAACCATGTACCATATCCGACGCCTCAACCCCCGTTTCGGAAGTCTCAACCTTACATTACAGGCGATCCATTGTACCAACTTCGCCAGGAAGCGTCAAAGAAGATCATGTCTGACACTAGTCTCCCGGTCCGCAGTGGGCTTGTTCAGTCTGAAATTCCCAGACCTCTCAGCGCCAAAGAAGTCCAACAGCCCCACCAGCAGCACCAGCAGCACCATCACACGCAGCTTCCCCCCTCTACCCAACCTGGACCAAAGGACATGCACACAGCCATACACGCTCGCAGCTCTTCTACAGCCTCGAATGCCGAAACCATCAACGAGCGCAACTTCTTCGAGCATCGCCCCTCCACCGCCCAGAAAGGTCCGCTCTCTCTATCTGACTCCAGTTCGGAGCGCATTCAGGACTACGAGGATGAAGAGCTCTTCGCAATGAGCTATTCAGATCTCGACAAGCAGTCGTTCGACGACAATCCTCGTGCCGATCCCAACAAGCAACCCATTTCCCACCTCGCTGACTCACCCCTCGAAGACCGGCTGCGAACCGCCTACCGGGAGCTCCGCCCAGAAGACCAATCCGAGTTCTTCAACTCCCTCCAGATCGACGAGTGGGAAGATGCCGGCGATTGGTTCCTCGACCAGTTCGGTGACCTGCTCGGGCGGTTCAAGAAAGCCCGCCGGACGAAGCGCGACGTTGCGCGCGAGTTCGAAGACGAGATCCGGAAGCGCAACGACGCCGTTGGACGCAAGCGCCGGTGCGTCGAGGACGAGGTTGGCAGGATCAAGGGCCAGGGCCAGAGACTGCTGCCGGACACGCCGTCGAGGCGGAGGGCGGCCACGCCTGCCTTTACGCCTAGGCGCTGAGCTACGGGCCTAGATTTGTTTGGTCTGCAAGGTCTCATAGGCGCCATGGATGCTGTGGGAAATATGTTTAGAGAAGAGGACGATATGTATGTTTTTGACGCACGCCTTTTTTTTTTGAAAAAAAAAATCTCTTGCGAGATTGCATCAGAAGACAGCATCTCGAAGGGGCCAACTGAAGAGTGCATGTCACCTTTCTGGCGTCGCTATACCCCGCAATGAACGACCCTGAAGCCAAAGGCTTAAAATTTGCTTTTGTACATCTAGACCTCTAGCGTGCGGTTGAAAAGGCTCTATACTTTACAATTGCTGAAATATATAATACAAGAATCCCTCGTCTAAAGGTCCCAAACTACAAAAATACTTCAAATGAACCAGTTATCCTGCGTGAAGATCAGCAGCGCAAGACGGTGCCTGATGAACAAGCCTACCAGCCCGCAGGCCACCTGCAGCGCGCACAAGCCCATGGCCAGCTTGTCCTCGCGCATGGGACCGAACCAGACGAGCCAGAGGTTGAGGATGGTCAGGTTGGTGCTCTCGAGCACGTTGCCGCGGTCGTCGGTCTTGACCCGCACGAGGCGCAGCCTGTGCAGGGCCTTGAGGGCCTCGGCGACGACGGGGCGCAGGGGCTTGGCCTGGTCGGCGAAGACGACGACGCTGGGCTCGAGCAGGCCGGTGTGGCGGTTGAAGCGCGGCAGGCGGTGGCGCGGGCAGGGCACGACGTGGAAGAGCTGCGGGGCCGAGTAGACGAAGTTTGCGATCTGCGGGATGAGCAGCAGCAGCAGCGTCTTGGAGAAGTGGCCGAGGATGCCGACGACGGCGAAGACCATGCCGGCGAAGTAGCAGTACGTGTCGCCGACGAAGACGCGGGCCGGGTACCAGTTGTGGGCGAGCAGGGCGAAGGAGACGCCGAGGAACGGCAGGAGGAGGTAGAGGGAGAAGAGGTGCGAGTCCGTGGCCGGGTGCGGGACCGGGTAGCCCGGGGGCGGTGAAGGGATGAGGTAGAGCAGGTCATTGAAGGCCAGGAGGAGGGCAATGATGATTGATTGCGAGACCTCGATTCCGTTGATGCCGGCGAGGATGTTGATACTGTTGGGGCAGAAGATGGAGATCGCTGCCATGTAGGCGTAGTATAGCCATCCTGCAACAAATTAGGCAAGTCGCCGGGCGGGACTGGGTGCTGCGGGGGGAGCGGGGTAGTACCTATGTCAAGGAGAACCCCAAGGTAGGATCTCAACGGGGTCGGCACCACGATCTTGGTCACACCAAAGTCGACGAAGTAGACGGTGAGCATAGGGATGGCAGCAAAGGCGGGAATCAGGATCTTGTGCCGCCAGCGGATGTCGAATAGATCATCGCCGATGCCAAGGAGAACCACAGTCTGAAGGGAGAGGATGGCGGACAGGTACGACGCAAGCTACAGAAGATCAACAAAAGAAAAGCCAGCGGGCCGGGTGTTTGGGTTGACCTTGCTATGGGGGAAGCGGTGCAGGAAGCGGCCCGTCTCGATCTCGCGGACGTCGAGGATGATGTCCCGGTTGCCGCCGCCCGAGGTGGCGGCGACGATGTCCTTGTAGAAAGGGAAAGGAATGAAGACGAGCAGGGCGAACAGGTAGACGACGGCGCACACAGCACCCATGGTCTCGGGGCTGTCTCCGGCTCAGCGCAGTCGGGCAGGGGTCACGTGGGGGGACGCACATCTCGACATTCTTGAGCTTCGACAGGTCGCGTCCCTTGAAACCGGCGCGCATGAAGGCATCGCCGAGCCAGCGGATGAGGGCGTAGCAGCTGGCGAAGGCAATGCCGCTGAAGGCCAGCGACGCCACGAGCGGCTCGCCGTCGCCGTGGAAGGTGTTGGCCAGGATGCCGATGCAGGCGGCGAGCAGCGAGAGCAGGGCCAGGCTCTCCGGGCGCGAAAGCTGGCCGGCCATGGCGTGCAGAGAAGGTTATAAAACGAGTGTCATGCGGTAGGGGGCGCTGCAGCAGTAGTGGTTGAAGCCAGATGTTATATATCGGGCCGCGTATCCTCTTCGCCCGCCCGTCGCAGGCGCTCGCATAGCCCACTGCACGCCCCAGCCGCAGCCCGCGCAGCCCGCGCAGCCCGCTAGTGTCGCTCTAGCCGCAAACGGGCCCCCCCGCCAACGCTCCGACGCGCCATGGACAACGTCAACGCGCTCGCAGCTGCCCACGCGCCCCGCCGCGACTCCATCCAGGCCCAGCTCGACCTGGTCACCACCAAGCTCGCCCGCCCGCAGTTCCTCAAGACCCTCACCCCCAGCCGCCTGCCGTCACAGGCCGCCTCGGACGCGTCGCTGTCGCCCAGAGACCGCGACAGAGACGGCCCCGCCTCCCACCACCGCCGCGCCCAGAGCCTCGTCCGCATCAGCCCGCGCGTGAGCGTCCTCAGCAGTGAGCCCTCCGAGAAAACCTACCATGCCGACGCCCTGCGCAAGAGCACCTCGCTACTGACCTTCGAATATGGAGCAAGACCTCTAGCCGACGTCCACCTCGACGCCTACCAGGAGCTGCGCGAGTCCGAGGCCAAGGCCCGCCAAGCTACCCGCAACATGTCTGCCAACCAGGGCTTCCAGACTTTCGACCACGGCCACCAGGACCTGGTCCTGGCCGTTGACTTCAACTTCTTCGGCACTCGCATGGTCACCGCCTCGTCCGACCACCGCCTCAAGGTCTGGGACCGCAAGGACGAAACCTGGTCCCTAGTCGACAGCTGGAAGGCGCATGATGCCGAGATCGTCGAAGTGAGTCCTCACCTGCGTCACGCCTGCAGCCGACAAGCCGTCCTTCCTGTTTGCGCTCCCTCTGCAGCGAGCCCGCCATTGGCCTGCTCCAGTTTCCGTGCAGCCCGCCCAGCCCGCTCTTGGCTTGTCGCAGTGACATTGGCGTGACACTGACGGCCTGCAGGTCAAATGGAATGGCCCGTTCATGGGTGAGGTCATTGGCAGCATCGGTGAAGACGGCCGTTTCAAAGTCTGGCAGGAGGATGTGACCGAGATCGCCAACACCGGTCGTCGCTTCAAACTCATCTACAGCCAAGTCTCCGAGACGCGCACGCCATTCATGTCACTCGACTTCAAACAGATCATGCAGGAAACTTGGGTCGCACTCATCACTCGCGATGGCATGCTCACTGTGAACGAACCCATCGACCATGGAAATCTGTCTGAGTGGCAGATTCTTGCACAAACTCAGGTCTTGCAGCCGCCGCCCCCGCGCTCCGAGGAGGCGAGTTTCCGCGTGTGCTTCCACAAGGAGCAGCTTCCCTGCTGGAGCGCCGTCAGTGCGGGCTTAGACAGACGCGCCTTGTCACTCGCTGTCGCCGCCATGGATATGGTCAGGGTCTATCGCAGTGACAAGAACCGCCGCTTCTACATTGCAGCCGAGCTTACCGGCTCCCGGAGCATCCTCCGCGACGTGGCATGGGCCAACGGCTCTATGCGCGGAACGGACATCATAGCGACTGCAAGCAAGGACGGCTCGATCCGCATATATGAACTCTCCACCCCTGAAAGCCCGCAGCAGTCCACGCTTGCTGTCCCAGCCGCACCTGAGCCCCAGCCATCTCCTCACGGTCGCCGTAACGCGCCATCGGGCATTGGAGCGGGCCTTGCCGGTGCATCTCGGGTCGGTGACGGCCATGAGAACGACCAAGATCCCGGCCGCGTCAAGCACCATGTCAAGATGGCCGCAGAGCTGGACTCCCACCATGGAGCGGCCTGGCGTGTATCCTTTTCTCAAATGGGTATGCGAAAGATTCTTTCTGTAGACGACCTGTTCTCTCGTGGTAACCATGATGCAGGTGATCTCCTTGTGTCCACTGGCGACGACGGTGCCATTCGCACATGGAAGAAGGCGAGCAACAGTCGTTGGCTCGAGTACGCCGAAATAGATACAGGAAAAGGCTAGTAGCAGCTTTCCTCTATCAATTGCTTTTAGACTCTTTTGACTACATCTACAGATGCTCCTCCTGGAGATGATCATTCCGTCCTCCAGGTCATCTTGGAGGCGTGGAAGGCTCCTGTGGTATTTCCAACTTTCGTTTATGATTCGAGCTAGCTTGTGGAATGATGTCGTAGCAGGACCAACGTCATCCTTCTCATCGACGGGACAGCGATGATCGAATCCAATGGTTTTGCTGTGGTCTACAGTAGACATTACATGGGAACGACACTTTGTGGGTAGTGGCTAGAAAGTGGGCGAAATGTTGCTTCTTTAGCGACGGTTTGCTAAGGAACTCTGGTGCTTCTGAAAAGACCGTCAGTGCGCTATCTGCGGGAAGATTCCATGATGGACGGGCATTTCATTTCCAGGTGTCAAGGGGGTAACTTCGTTCCGGTCCAAGAGACGCAAGACTCCAAAAGCAGTTTATCACTCTCACGGATCTTGCTCGGTAGAATCAATTGTCCAGTTCGTACTCGGTTTCTAGAAAGTCTCCTTCGAAACACTGCCCGGACTGGTAGAGGCTTAGGCAGTGATGCAACTGATGGTCAAGCTATTTGAAAGCACTGCCTCGCTGTGGCCAAGTCTGTCCCTAGCAGTCCTCTGCGGGCATTTTACTTGCATCCACTGGCTGTAGACTCTCAATACCATTCTGTTGGGATCTCCAAAGAGAAGCGAACGTGGTGCCACCAGAAGTGACTTGGCCGTGCCGTGCTCATATACCAGGATGCTATGATAGCCCACTCTTTACCATGGTCACACAACAGGGCTTTACGCCGGTCCAAGGATAGGGCTGGACGATCATACATTGAACGAGATAATTATGGTTGTTTGAAGCCAATCCATAGCCAAGCATATCTCTCTCCGGTGGTTGTGTTGTGAGCCCTGAGAATTACGTGCTGTGTGTTGGCAGACTCTGACAAGCACAACCACGGTTTATGCCGGGCCATTCCACGTCCCCGCACTTCGACAACCACTTTGGCAGCGGGGGCTGGGACATTGTGCCGGTCATGGGCCTGAGCGCAAGGAGTCGACGGTCGGTCCACGGCGAGATGTTTGGTTCACCTGCTCACGCCCGGCGCACAAAGCGAGCGTGTGTGGGCAGGAGCAGAAGCCCGTAGTCCGTACCGGAACGGAGGCGTCACTTCGAAGCTGCAGTGCTCAAGAACCGCAGCTGGACAGGGCCGTTGCACGGTCGACGGCTCTTACTTGACTACACACTTCTCCAGCTTTCCATCGATGATTGGCACGTGCTCGACCAGGCGGTTCGGGTCTCTCATGAGCGCGGGCACATCTTCTCTAGTAATGGCCATCTTCTTCTTTACCACGTCGTACTTCTCTTCGCGAGCCGTGTACTCACGGATGACCTCACCGGTCTCGAACTCGACGAAGACTCTGGTGTCGCGGATGCGGAAGATGACGCCGTCTAAGCGTAAGAAAAACCTGCACAGCAGCAGCAAGCGGGCGGGCATGACGCGTATCTTGCACGACATGAGCGAGATGCCGTTATCGGCGAGCTCGTCTTCGTAGAGCATGACATCGTCGAAGAAAAGAATGGGGTCGGGACGTTTGAGCAGGGCCAGGGGTATCATAGTTTCCGAGTCCTCGAAGTGGAGGGGGGACTGGTGGGGCACAGTGCCGGCATAGTCGGTGCTGAAGGACCAGTCGAAGGGCTTGACCACCTCCTTGATTTCCGAGGCGTGGTTTTGCCTTGTCGGGGGTTCTTAGCGCTTGCGGCGACTACGAAGCTCAGCGTGGGCCGGCGCCTCACCTTGTCTTCTGCCACTCCTTGGAGTAGGCAACCTCGAGCATCTTCTCGCCCGTCTTGTCGACACGGTCCAGCGCGTCGAAGGCGTTGAATTCTATGCTCCACCCGGTCGCAATGTGCTCGAGGCGCATGGCATTGTCGCCGAAAATCATCTCGGGCAGAGCAATGCCCAGTTTGTTCGTCATGTCGTCGATGGGGCCGGCCTTCAGTATAGGCAGCTTGCGCGTGGTGATGTTCCACCCTTCATGTGTGATTGCCTTGCCCTGGTCGGCGGGGGCCGGGAACGCCGTGTCCATGGTGGTGTCGGGCGCAGGGGAGCCGGAGCCCGGGGCGACAGAGACTCTTGGGGGGGAGTGGGGTTGGTTGGACGTGCAGGCGGGAGCAGCGGGAGCTTCCATGAGGTCAGGCGGCTCATTCTCGGAGAGCGGGGCCTGGCAGCCTGGGCCGGTAGTCGTGGCCGCGCACCATGTGGAGGCTGCGAGGAGGCTCTGCATCTGCGCCCTGCTGCCCGCCGCCCGGCTAACCAGTAGCGCATTCCAGCGATCGCGTCTAGATGGTGGTATTTTCTGCGCGTCCAATCCGGGCCTGCACGGCGGGAAGCGCGACGGCAGACGTCATTGGCGGGCGCGGGCGGGCGCGGCGGACCTGTGCAGTGGCTGATTGTTGCTGTGGAGACAGCCGTAAACACTCCGCGAACCTGCTTCTTCTGCTGCGCCGCCGCCCACCCAGCCTCCCTCCCCAAGGACGACTTCTCCAATTGCCCCGGAGCCGCGCGAATCCCCCCATCTCGCTTTCCTGCTGCATTCCCCGCCATGGCAACAAAAACCCTCGAGTCCGCCTTCGAGCGCATCTCCATCAACAATGAGAACGAGAACGTCGCCGGCAATCTCGCCAAGCACAAGTCCAAGGTGCGGAACCACACCCAGTGCTCGCCAGAGCATGCTGCTAATCCCATCGCAGGGCTCTCTCTCTACCGCAGTAAACCTCACCGGCCTGGGCGGCAACGCCAATGGCAGCCGCGTCAAGCTTCCCCTGCAGAGGTTACAGCAACCCAACGTCCCCAAGGCATACAGCAGCAACACAATTGCCAAGATCACCCTTCCATCCCAAACCGCCCAGCGCGAGCGCGAGCGCACCGACCGCACTGACCGCACCGAGCGCATCGAGCCGCGGCCCTCGGACGAACTGCACCACCGCAGCTCCGACTCCGTTCTCTACAAGCAGCCCGTCGCCCCGCGCCAATTTAACCTGAACATGTTCGAGATCGGCAAGCCGCTGGGCAAGGGCAAGTTCGGCCGCGTCTACCTGGCCAAGGAGCGCCAGTCGGGTTTCGTTTGCGCGCTCAAGGTGCTGCACAAGTCGGAGCTGCAGCAGGGCAAGGTCGAGAAGCAGGTGCGCCGCGAGATCGAGATCCAGTCGAACCTGGCCCACCCCAACATCCTGCGCCTCTTCGGCCACTTCCACGACTCGAAGCGCATCTTTCTCATCCTCGAGTTCGCCGGCAAGGGCGAGCTGTACAAGCACCTGCGCAAGGAACAGCGCTTCCCCGAGTGGAAGGCCGCCCAGTACATCGCCCAGATGGCCGGCGCCCTCAAGTACCTGCACAAGAAGCACATCATGCACCGCGACATCAAGCCCGAGAACATCCTCGTCGGCATCCACGGCGAGATCAAGATTTCCGACTTTGGCTGGAGCGTTCACGCCCCGAACAACCGCCGCAACACCATGTGTGGAACTCTGGACTACCTGCCCCCGGAGATGATCAAGCCCGGTAGTTCCGAGAACTACTACAGCGAGAAAGTCGATCTGTGGAGCTTGGGCGTCTTGACGTATGAGTTCTTGGTTGGAGAGGCGCCGTTCGAGGACACGCCCGTCATGACCCAGCGCAGGATCGCGAGGGCCGAGATGACCGTCCCCAGCTTCGTCAGCCCCGAGGCTAGGGATCTGATCAAGAAGGTGAGTTTAGAAGCGTCAATTCCACCTGGAACGGCTCACTAACGAATATCACAGCTGCTTGTGCTGGACCCTGAGAAGCGTCTGCCTCTCGACGAGGTTGAGAAGCACCCCTGGATCATCAAGCACTGTGTAAGGGGCGAGAGGAGCTACATCCGCACCTCTGGTTCGTCGAGCAAGAGCCGCACGAGTGACAAGTCCGACGCGTGATTCTGTGCGAGATCTAAGTCTGTGGTTTGCGATCATGTCCACGCTGTTAGAGGATGTTTGTCACGCAAGAAAGCTTGTGGTGAGTGATTTCAAGCAGGTGTAGGTGGTCTGGATCTTTTCTTTTCATCATTAGTTCGGCGCTGGAAGGGGACTGGCACAGGGTACTCGGGATCAGGGCTGGCATATGGCGTGGAGTTTCGGATTGACTGGGTAAGGAGTTGAACTGGTTTTGCGGTTAAAAAGGCAATCCTAACGCCGCCGCTATGCTACATTTAATGGTACACGATCTCAAATTTGCGAAAGACTCCCCACAACTCCAGCGCAAGCCTTTTGAATTCCCTTCCTTCGATGACATTTACCTGTAGATTTCATCGAACGGTCTCGTATCCAGGAAACAGCTGTCCCACACCTCGTTGACTAGGCGTGCGGCATGAACGTCGTCCTTGACGGCTGGCCTGGCCATCAAAGAGAGCGTTGCTCGCCGCCTGACGCACTCTTGCAGCTGGCTCGTGAATCGCCATTGGTTCCTGGTGAAAAACTCGCGAGTGAACCTGCACTCTCCGCTCAGAGTCGAAGCGCGGATCTACCGAAAGACATGCTGCAGTCAGCCATCATTCTCGAAGCCCCCCGAACCAACCGCACCGGGTGAAGTCACTTGCACAACATACCTCGGTGCAGGCCTGGTGCCGCAGATTCCACCGATCAACCTTGAAGCGCAGGTAGTCGTACGCATGCACCATCTCGTGCGCGATGGTGTCCTCGACGTGCCCTCTGTTGCGCATGTGGTTGGCGCAGATGAGCACGCCGTAGTCGACGTCGAAGCCGCCGCCCTGGGCGGTCGTGCAGCGGCGGCAGCGCACGTTGTGGGGGCCCACGTCGCCGCCGAGCTTGCGCACCTCGTCGCGCATGAAGCGCACGATGGGCGAGTACTCGAAGGCCCAGTCGCGGTGCGCCTCGACGCGCGCGATGTCCTTGTCCTCGCGCACCGCGTCGCGCGTGGCGAGGTACTGCCGCCGCTCGTCCGGCGTCGCTTGCCCCGCCAGGATCGAGAAGAAGGTGCGCCAGTTGTAGAAGCTCGGGTCTGGTTCTTGCGGCACGGCGGCGGCGGGGGTGGGCTTGGTTTCGGGGTCCATTGCTTCGGCCATGCTAGGATATCGGGCGGTGCGGCCGTGGCAGAAGCGGCGATCGAGACGGCTCGAGCTGAACTCGGTAGATGCGAGAGGTGGACGGGTTTGGATATGAGATGCGATGCCGCACTACTACTGCCGAGATGGGTGGATGGTTTGCGGCGAGGGCGGATTATTCCCGCGAAGGCGGTCAGCCAGTTTTGCGAACATGAGCGAGTCATGTAGGGCGCCGACTGTAGAGTCACTCGGCCGGGCATATATCAGGCCCCGCTCGCGCCATTGATGTCGCGGCCACGGTTTGCAAGATGAAGAAGCATCTGACAATAGTAATCAAGCTCGGTACAGCACCGCCTGTACTCTCGCAGTCCCGGCGTGCGGCAGAGCAAAAAGGTGCTAACAGCTTCGCCCAGGCACGTCATCCATCGTCGACGAGAAGACCCACGAGCCGCTGCTCTCCATCCTCAGCACAATAGTCGAGACGGCCGTGAAGCTGCACAAGGATGGCCACCGCGTAGTCATCGTCTCCTCGGGCGCCATTGGCGTCGCCCTGCGGCGGATGGACCTGCCTCGCCGCCCGAAACACCTGCCCCAGGTCCAGGCACTGGCCGCCATCGGACAGTGTCGCCTGATGAGCCTCTGGGACCAGCTGTTCTCCCACATGAACCAGCCAGTCGCCCAGATCCTGCTGACGCGCAACGACATTGCCGACCGGACGCAGTACCTCAACGCCCAGAACACCTTCCACGAGCTGCTCCATATGGGCGTCATCCCCATTGTCAACGAGAACGACACGCTGGCGGTCACGGAAATCAAATTTGGCGACAACGATACCCTCTCGGCCATCACGGCGGGCATGGTGCAAGCAGACTACCTGTTCCTCATGACCGACGTCGACTGCCTGTACGACAAGAACCCGCGCACGAATCCGGACGCCAAGCCCATCGAAGTCGTCGAGGACATCGCAGACCTGGTGGCCGATGTCTCGAGCGCCGGATCCTCGCTGGGGACCGGTGGAATGTCGACCAAGATCGTGGCCGCCCGTCTGGCCACCTCCGCCGGCGTGACCACCGTCATCACGCGCTCCTCCAAGCCCGGCAACATAGCCGCCATCGTCAAGTACGCCGAGGCGCAGAAAGCGCTCCAGGCGTCCATGGCCTCGAGCCGCAACTCCCTAGCCGCCGTCGACGACGACGATCAGCGACTTGCCGCCGCGCTCGACCTCTCCTCCGGAGGACGCGGCACCCCGGCCCCAGGCGCCAGCGCCGAAATCGTCGACCCCGTCAGCGGCCTCGCGGCCCCGCTCCACACGCGCTTCCTGCCCCAGGTGCATGCGATCCGCGACCGCTACTTCTGGCTGCTGCACGGCCTGGCGCCGCACGGCACCGTCTACATCGACGAAGGGGCCTACCGCGCGCTGGCCGACAAGGCCGGCCTGCTGCCCGTCGGCGTCGTCGACTGCGACGGCCACTTCCACCAGCAAGAAGCCGTGCGCATCGTCGTCGTCAAGCGCACTCCCGGCGCCCCCAGGCGCGCTCCGTCCTCCGGCTCCGGCTCCGGCTCGGCTGCTGCTGCTGCTGCTGCCGGCGGCACGGATACGCCCGCCAGCGGCTTCGAGAGGGAGAATCCGGCCCCCTTCGAGGTGGGCCGCGCCGTGGTGAACTACTCGGCTGCCGAGATCAGGAGGATCAGGGGCGTGAAGAGCACAGAGATTCATGACGTGCTGGGGTACGCCGACAGCGAGTATATCGCCTTGAGGGAGAACGTGGCGTTCCTCACCATTGAGAAGAGCAGGCCGACGACGCCTGGGTTGCCGATTGACGCGGCATGAACGGGAGTTGTGTAATATGCGCTGCTGTTCTACTTTACCGAGATGAGTGATGACATCGAATTCGAGGAGCGCAAATGTTGGCCATCCGGAGATGTCTGGGAGGGGTAGACGAATAGAGCCTTCGATTATCTTTGGAAACATTCAAGTTTGGACGGTTGATCATAACGACTACGAGCTTCTAGCGAAGTCCGTGGGGAGAAAAGTTGACAACGAATAAAATCACGAGGAACAAACGTCGGGTCTTTGTTTTTCGTACAATTGCCGTATGTACAGGAGTCAAGGCCCGCACTGCAGCAAAGCCAACCACAGTGGCCGTAGCCATAGCAACTGCCTTTTCCCCATCAAAGTTCTATTCGTCAACGCTCCGGATGCAGAGCCCGAGAGCCATCAAACGGGGGAATCCATGCCTTCTCGCTTTCTCTCAAGATCGGTCAAAGTCAGGCGCAGCTCAATGCTTCGAGTCTTTCCCTTCCGCTTCCTTCAGAAACTCCCTGTGGTGGTGTGTTAGCCACGCGTATTCCAGTGAGCCCGAGCATGGCCCCAACGAGCGAAGAGGACATTGGCGAGGGGCCGGAGCGTGAGCACTATGGAGGCATACTGGATGAAGTTCTCCTCGTCCTTGCTGGCGGCGTTGATCGGAGGGGTGACATTGGCGACCTTCTTGCTGCCGCCGGTGGCCGCGAAGATACCGCCGAAGAGCGTGCCGAGGACGCCCATGGCGAGCTGCGAGAGGAGCAATTGGTTAGCGGACAGTACGTGCGTCGGCGACGGCCAGTGGCTGAGTGTTGGGAAAATATGGGGTGCGTAATCGGAGCTGGGCCAGCGGAAGGGCAAGACAGCGAGCGGGCGCGATGGGGATGGGAGCGACGGATTGGAGGGCACGCACGACGTGGGAGCCGATCTTGCGGCCAGCGATCTCGTAGTAGACGACCATGGTTGCGGGGTTCGGAGGAGCTGATGGGGTTGCGGGCGGGTGGCAGGTGCAATTGATGGGGAATGCCAGAGCTCTCTGGTCTTCGCTCTTCGTCGTCTGCGCGGGCCTGCTTCCTCCGCGCCGGCGCCGAAAGGGAAGCAGCACGTGATGCGTCCACCAGCCACTGCCTGCGCCACCGCGCAGCAGCCACGATCGCATGCGTCACTGTTGCGATCCGTCCCCGGTCGTGCCCTCCAATCCATTCGCTCGGAGAACGGGAGGCAACAAGTCGCGAATACCGAATCGTGCCCGCTCCCGCCTGCACGCCTACATAACCTGCGCCGTTTCCTCGTCCCGTAGCTTGACCCCAGCTCTATCCACACTCGCTCACCATGCCTAAAGACGACGACTTCAGCGACATTCCGCACGAGCGCAGCGAGCCGCGCCCGGACTTCAGCAAGCAGCCATTGCCGCAGAAGAAGCTGCCGCCTTCCATCCAGGAAACGCTTGACGATGAAGAGAAGCTATGGGAGGCATTGTATGAGGGCCAGTATGTAAACCTTCATCCAGTGTCTTTGCATGTGGCTGAGCTCTTCGCTCTAGCACTGGCGAGTCCACGGACTCCAACATCCGCTATGCCGCCTACGCCTCGCGCGTCCGCACCATCCTCATGTCGGCGCACCGTTATGTAGCATACACTTCAGACATCGGGGAGTCCTTCCGCCCCATCGCGCACCCGTACATGGTCAAAGGCGCCTACGGCGTCTCGTGGGCGTACTTGGTCGGCGATGTGAGCAACGAGGGCTACAAAGCGTATCTGCGCAACCAGCGCACACTGTGGGGCGAAGACTACGACAAACCCGTTGTCGGCTCCGACAAGCTCGCCGCACAGCAGCCCGACCAGACGAAGCTGGGGCCCGGTATCATCGGCGGCGACCAGAAGCAGCCGATTGGCAAGGTCCCCATACTCGAGGATTACCGGACCGTCATGGCTCAGAGGGCCATATTCCAAGGCCTGGCTAGTATGGGGTTGCCTGCCTTCACCATTCATAGCACCGTAAAGTATTCGGGCAAGGCACTGAAGAATCACAAGAACCCGAAGATCCGGACTTGGGGCCCGATTGGCGTAAGTTGCACTCCTCTGTGTTTAGCATGGTGATTTGCTGACAGAGTACTGTAGCTTGGTCTAGCTGTCGTGCCTTTCTTACCTTACATTTTCGACGAGCCGGTGGAGAAGGCAGTGGAATGGACTTTCCATAAGACCTTCTCAGCGTTGTATGGTCATGAAGCGGTGGCTGGCGTGCCGGTAACGGGCCAGCAAGAACTGCGTGATGCCCAGTCGAAGGCTGGTGCAAGGAAAGAGAAAGAATTGTAGAGAATAGGCGTTCCCATGTAGTGAGTATTTGGGCACTGGAGACGGAGTCAGGCAGTGTTGCAATTTTTGAGCGCCGCTGGAGTTCAACGCCCCTCAATTACCGTTCTATATACATACGGCTGACGTGAACATAATTAATTTCTACTCATTGAGAAACTCTTGGAAGGAACACCTGCCATTTGATGAAGAAAGATTCGATCCCCCTTTCCCAGCCACAACCCAAAAAATATTCATGCAATGAGTGCATCTTACTGGTCCTTGTGCAATCACATCAAAGGATTAACCGTTAGTCTTAGATCTTCTTAATGAGTAGGTGGTAAAATGTTCGCAAAAGCTGATATGCTTTTCTCTATCCACGCAGTTAGCAGTACAGATCCCCTTACACTCACACGCTTAGAAAGAATACGTCATAAGCAATATATACATACAACTTGGACCTCAGATTCCTTCGTATGGTGCGTTTCTTTGAAGAACGGATTCCAATCCAACCCACCGCACACTTCCATCCCTAGCCAATGCCAACTTGCCCGTAGCCTCAATCCCGCTTCCCACCCCCATAGCCATACCCACCACCACCACCACCACCACCGAGACCATAACCGCTATAGCCCCTCTGACTCTCGACGCCAATCGCCCTATCCTTCCCGTGCCTCTTCAGCCTCCTCGGCAGCTCCACCCCCCTGAACCACGCAAAACACACGGCCGTCGCCGCGCCGGCGCTCAGCATGCAATACACGACGGTGCTCATGTAGACGTGGCCGCCGACGCCGGCCCAGCCGCTGGGCAGGACGGGGCTGGGGTACCAGCGGACGCTGAGCTTGAGGCTGAGGCTGTCGCCGATGACGATCTTGGTGTTCTTGGACGCGTGCGACACGCTGTACGCGGCGGCGGCGTCGATGGTGCCGGGCGCGACGCTCCGGGGCGCCGCGTGCAGCAGCATGTTGAGGTGGTTGGAGATGTGCAGGTGCGAGAGCTGCAGCGTGCCCGTCAGCGCCACGATGAGCGGCGTGTAGCGCGCGCTCTGCCCGCCCAGCGCCCCGCTCGTCTCCGACACCGCGTCCACGCTGTATTCGCCGTTCTTCTTGCCGCCGTCGCCGTCGTCGTCGTTTGTGGAGGAGGAGGAGGGGAGAGGGCGCGCGGGGATGCGGCAGGTGAGCGGTGCGTCGTTGTGGACGTAGAATTCGAGCAGATGGAATAGCGGGTCGGAGATGAAGTCGATCGTGCAGTTCATTTCTGCGTGGCGAAAAAACAAGCAAGCGCATGTCAGCTTCGACGTGTCTCCAATTCCCAGTCGCGCATGTCCCGGGAGGCCCGCTCACCTTTTTCGATGCCGAAATAGAGCTCCAGAGGCTTGCCCGTCTCGTTGCAGACCGGGAAAGGGATGTATTGGAGCTGTCCCGACGCATCTGTGATCTGTATCGCGCTCTGCCATCAGTCGTCATGTTCTTGATTGTCCGTCGAATCCGAATGCCTCCGCCGCGCATTGAGGTCTGTTCGCATGGGGGGTTCAGGGTTGCGCGTACATGTTCGCCGGTGTCGCTGCGGCTGGGTTAGTAGAGGTTCGTATTGGATGGCGTCGTACTTACATGGTCCTATTCAGGCAGGAGACGGGGACTGCCTCCCCGATCGCATAGCCTCGTGCTTCCAGGGGCTTCAAGGGCTCTTGGCTGGAGACGGCATATGCCAGGTTCAGGTAGAAGCTCAGCAGCAGGGATAGCACCAGCCGCAGAGACAGGGCGCGCGACGCCATTTCGATTGTGAGCGGAGAATTGAATGCGGCGGCAGCGATACCCTGAGATTACAAAATATACAGTGCCATTGTGGCGGCAACTGCGGCCGTGTGGGGTGTTGCGGGTGGTGCGTGGTGCAGCAGCTACGGAGAGGCCAGCTGTGTGGGAACTAGACCAGACAGCCCAGCCCACTAAATCTGGAAACCCGCAAGATCGACATGCACCCCCATCGTCGCACTGAACACTGGCTCCACGTCCACGGTTCCGGGATTACATCGTACTGAATTCGTTATCTGCGTCTCGCTATATGCTTTTGTTCAATCTATCCAGCGCTCTCTCACAACAAATCGCTGGAGTTCATAGTCGGTATCTTGAGCGCCCCTCGTCCTCCGCACCCAGTCACTTGGAGATGCCCGCCTTCTGCTTGAACGCGTTGATCAGTCCGCTGGTGCTGGCATCGTGCGAGCTCGACTCGCTGCTGTCGCCCAGCTCCGCCAGGATCTTCTTGGCGAGGACCTTGCCCAGCTCGACACCCCACTGGTCGAAGCTGTTGATGTTCCAGATGGCGCCCTCGGTGAACGTCACGTGCTCGTAGTAGACAATCAGTGCTCCCAGCGTCGCCGGCGTGATCTTCTGGGCAAGGATCGAAGTCGTCGGGCGGTTGCCCAGGAACGTCTTGTGGTTGACAAGCTCCTCAGGCGCACCCTCGGTCTTGACCTCCTCGGGCGTCTTGCCGACCATCAGCGCCTCGGCCTGCGCGAAGAAGTTCGAGGCAAGCATCCTGTCATAGTCAGCCTCCATAGCGTCAGACAGCACTTGGAATCAACTTACTTTTGGTGCAGGTTGTCCTGAACAGGGTTGTGGCTCTCGGCAGCCAGGATGAAGTCGGTAGGGATAAGCTTAGTGCCCTGGTGCAGCAGCTGGAAGAAAGAGTGCTGGGCGTTGGTGGCGGGCTCGCCGAAGAGAATGGGACCGGTCGTATACTTGACGTACTCGCCGGTGCGAGTGATGGCCTTGCCGTTCGACTCCATGGAGAGCTGCTGAAGGTAGGCAGGGAAGCGGTGCAGGTACTGGTCGAAGGGGGCAACGAGGTGCGTCTGAGCACCGAAAAAGTCCGAGTACCAGACGCTGAGAAGACCGCCAATCACGGGGATGTTCTGCTCAAGGGGAGTCTCCTTGAAGTGCTTGTCCATAGCCTGCGCACCAGCAAGGAACTGGTGGAAGTTGTCGTAGCCAATGTACAGGGCAACGCTCAAGCCGATGGCGCTCCACACACTGTAGCGGCCACCAACCCAGTCGGAGAAGGGGAACATGTTCTTCTTGTCAATACCAAACTTGGTGACCTCGGCCTCGTTGGTGGAGAGGGCGACGAAGTGCTTGGCAATAGCCGACTCGTCCTTGGCAGTCTCGAGGAACCACTGCTTGGCCGTGTTGGCGTTGGTGCACGTCTCAGCAGTGGTGAATGTCTTGGAGGCAATCAGGAAGAGAGTGGTCTCAGGGTCAGACTCCTTCAGCGCCTCGGCAATGTGGGTACCGTCGATGTTGGATACGAAGTGAAGCTTGAAGTCGCGCTTGCCGTACGCCTTCAGAGCCTCGGTGACCATGACAGGGCCGCTATTTGACAATTGTCAGCGTACCGACATCTTGACCGGTGCCGTCACCAATTGAGCCACTTACAGATCAGAGCCACCAATACCAACATTGATGATGGTCTTGATGGACTTGCCGGTGTAGCCCTTCCACTCGCCGCTGCGAACCTGCTCAGTGAACTCCTTCATGTGCTGCAGGACAGAGTCGACGTCCTCGACAACGCTCTTGCCATCGACCTGCATGGGCCAGTTGGCAATGTTGCGGAGAGCGGGATGGTAGACGGCGCGCTTCTCGGTGAAGTTGATCTTCTCACCAGCGAACATGTCATCGCGGAGCTTCTCGAGGCCAGCCTCCTTGGCGAGCTTCACAAGGAGGTCAAGCGTCTCCTCGGTGATGAAGTTCTTGGAGAAGTCAAAGAGGGTCTCGGACTTGTCGGCCTCATTGTAGAAGGTGCGGGAGAACTTCTCGAAGCGCTGGGGGTCCTTCGCGAAGTAGTCCTTGAGGACAATGTCCTTGCCAAGGGTCTGGTGGTGCTCTTGGAGCTGCTGCCAGGCCCTCAGCTCGTTTGCTTGCGAGAAACCAGGCATGGTGTGCGGTGGTGGATTGTTGGGCTGTGCAGCGTGGAATGGGTCAGTTATGACGTTGAGGCGGGGAACAACGGATGGACAGCGATGGCAGCAGCAATTGAAGGGCGAGCAGCGTACCTTGGGAGGGAGAAGTGTAAAGAGCGAGGGGCAGATGCGAAGTTTTGCGACGAGAAGGGCGGAGCCTGACGCAATCAGCCGGAGCTTGCGGTTGTTGTGCTGTGGTAGGAGCGGCGGCGATGGGCGAAGGCGGGGCACTGGTCAAGGAAGGCACGGCGGCCGCTCGGATTCTCAAGTGGGGCTTCCCGGCAGCTGTGTCATCAGCGCTTCACGGATGACAGAGCACCTACGAATGAATGCGTCCTGCCTGCTGCACCTCATCCACTCTGCGCGCGATTACTGGCTGCTGCCCGTCGCACGCGATTCATCCAAAATGCCTTGGCGGGTGCAGCACCGTGGCCGTGGGCCGAGGGCTGGTCGGCGACTTCGCAACTGTACTTCCGCTGATAAGTGACGAGAGGCCAGTGCTCGATGCGAGCCCGAGAGCGGAGCAGCACGCCTGACATGGAGCCATGTCTCGACCAGCTGCTCACAAATACTTCAGATTCTGCCTCAGCCATGACCACGCATGCGCCGGAGCGTGAATAGTAAACCTCGGTTCAGGAAGCGCCCGCCATCTTCATTCTTCAAGTCAGCCCGCTCATAGACCAAATCTTTTGTATCAATCGTCAAAGCCGTCCCTTGCGTGATCGTCAGCCATGGAAGGAGCATGATGGTCACTACTCATCGGGATGGCCTGAGAAAAGAGGGAGAATCTATCACCTAAAACTGAAGAACCTTCCCGAATGCAGCGCCATCCGCCCATGGAAAATTGTCAAGAAACTCACTCCGATGAACCCTTCGAGCACTGCATGTTTCCTTTCCCGAACGGGTACGCCCAGAGCACCTGCTACAAATCCCTTTTCATCCGTCCCGCAACCCAATTGTTCATATCCGCTCCCATCCACATCTGCCGCGATGACAGAGCTGGACACGGGACATCTTCGCCATGTTCCGTCTCTGCTCGTGGTATCGTAGTCATTTCCCCTTACCTTGAAGCGTCCTCGAACGAATTGTCCACGACACTGCCTCCGGCGTCGCCCAGCCCGGCAACCGGTCTGTTGTACGACCAGCCAGCGAACTGCTGCTGCATCGTTTGCGAAAGCATTGGCCCTTCGACGTATGAGTCCGTCGGTGCCTCCGAGGTGAACTCTCGGTCAAAGTTCGCCGTATCTCTCTGATCGGTCTTTGTGGGGTCAGCTTACAGCACAAGGCCAAAGAATCCATGACTCGTTACTTACCACACTCGGCTTGAAGCTCGGCTCATACTTGCGGTCCAGAAGCTTTCTCCAGTCAATGCTGTGGAAGAAGTAGTGTGCCTTGATCTCCGCGGCACCGTTGGCACCAAGGCGCTTCTCCGCATTGCGGTCAAGAAGTCTGGTGAGGAGATCCCGGGCAGCAGGAGGGACGATCTCCGGGCCGGGGAAATGCAAGGGCTCCGTGAGGATCTTTCGGTACATGTCGTTGGTGTTTTCATCGTAAAACGGCGGCAGACCCGTGAGCATCTCGTAGAGAAGCACGCCAAGCGTCCACCAATCAACCGTCTTCGTGTAACCACCTCCGGTCAATAACTCAGGGGCGAGATATTCCGGCGTTCCGCAGAATGCTGTCTAACGTCAGAGGGGCATGCTCTTGTTTCACATGGTAGTACATACTGTTCGTCCGATCTTCATCCTTCATATCCAGCTTACACAAGCCGAAGTCGCAGAGAGCAATATGACCCGTGTAGTCAAGCAGGATGTTCTCCGGCTTCAAGTCACGGTAAATGACATTGAAGCCGTGCAGGCACTCAAGAGCGCAGAGCAGCTCTGCCGTGTAGAAACGCGCCCGGTTGATGTCAAAGCGTTGCTCCTTTTGCAAATGATGGAAAAGTTCGCCTCCGTTGACAAAGGCGAGTACAAGGTAAAGCTTCTCCGGCGACTGGAAAGAGAACTTGAGGGGAACAATGAAGGGATTGTTGATCTGAGCAAGCACTGATCTTTCTGCCAGAGTATGTGCAACTTCAGAGCGAGAAATGATGTGTGCCTTGCGAATGGTTTTGAGGGCGTAGATACGGTGGGTATCGCGCTTCCTGTTTCCATCTGTCAGCGTTCGGTTGAATCAGACGTCACGCCCAAGTAACTCACATGACCTGCATGACCTTGCCAAAACTGCCCTTCCCGACGACCTTGAGCAACTCGAAGTCTTCGATCGTCAGGCGATCTTGTCTGTTCTCGACGAAGCGGACGCCAACCTTAAGGTTGCCCGTGCCGTAAGCCACGTCGATCCAATCGGCACCACATTGGCCAAGTGATCGCTCATGCGAAGCGTGCGCCGCAGCCGCCTTCTCCTTGTCTTTCTTGCTTGATTTGGGGTCCTCCACGTAGGGCTGCGCCTCCTCGAAGCGAGGGTTAACCTTGCATGTGCCGATGAAGATATCCTCGTTGCGGCCAGCGTTTGGCGGGGCATTGGGGTTGCGAATGTATAGGGAGATGGAGAGGTCGGTGGTCCGGGAAACATCGAACTTGTACTGGGTGTTGTCTCCCGCCCAGACCGGGTTCTCGGGGTTACCTGATACGGCGTTGACAAACACCTGCTGTTTATCGAAATCAATCAACGCATATGGCAGGTGCTTGGCCGAGTAACGACCATGTACGGTCGGGGCTTGGTTGATGGCTCCAGTGGCTGACTGCGGTCTGCCATGGCCCTTGACGTAGGAACCCGCTACTGCTCCACCGCCAGGGCGCATTGAGCCAGCAACGGAATACCCGCCTCCTTGCGATAGCGATCCTTGGTGGTGACCGCTGCTGTGGCCAAAGGCCTGCTCCGCTCCAGGCGGCAGCGAAAAGCTCTTGCCCTCATGCAGTGTGACTATGAGAATACCGGGCTTCAACGGCGGCGCGGGCGCATTGGCGTTGGCTTCAGATGCGGCTGCGAGACGTCAGCTACATTATTACTCCACAAGTCAGACGCAGAGGTGCGGCGTACCGATTCCATTGGGATCTTTGGCGTCGGGGCTTGTTGAGTTGGGCTTAGGGGTGTCAACAATGGTGGATGTGGATGACGAGCGGCTGAAGGTGTTCGCCAGCGGGGCGAGATGGGTCTCCTTGAGCTCTGTGCAAAAGTCAGATCGGGTCGCTTAGGCGGGCGATCATAGCGGACGCACTCTTGGTGAGCTTCCAGGACATGGCGGCAATCTGGGGGGTTGCGAGGACCAGCGGCAGGTGAGAGCGGAACGATGGGCAGCGAAGCGGAAGGGAAAGCCCGTCTCGCGGGGCTGGAGAGCGAAGAGGCGGTTTGAAAAGAGTGGCGATCGGACAGGTCGCTGACCAGAACCAAGTTGAAATGCACGGCGGCCTGCACGCAGTAGGGTCGGCAAACTCGTGTTTGAGGGTGGCTGTGAAGGGCGAGTGGTATACCTGGTACGGGAGAGGGGGTTCAGGCCGGGTTGATTAGGGCCGCTAAGACCAAAGATCGCGCCGCAGCGCGCGCCCGATTCTCCGGCTCTGCAACGACTACTCCCCCGACACCAACTCCAGCAGTGCGGGGCGCGCTCCACGGCCGACGACGCAGTCTCTCTCCACAATCTCTTGCGCTCAAGCTCGCCCGCCCCTTCCCCCAGCCTTCCACCATCCCTGCGCAGCGCGCGATTCGTTGGCTGGCCCGTGAGGACGACCGCGGGCCAACCCATCCCCAGGCGGAGCGGAGTTGGAGGCCACAAGCGCCGCGCAACCATCGGGCGCCGATGCCGACATGGGCGTCATTAAAAAGAAGACGGCCGTGCGGAGCACCGAGGGCGGCGTCAAGTACGTGTGCGACGTGTGCTCCGTCGACATCACCGCTACAGTGCGTGTTCCCCTAGACGCGCCAGACCCAACACGCTCCCGCTCACCGTGCGCATAGGTCCGCATAAGATGTGCCAACCCCACTTGCAATGAGTTCGACCTCTGCGTGCCGTGTTTCTCGGAGGGCAAGACAGCCCGCGACCACGAGCCTCGCACCCATTCGTACCACGTCATCGAGCAGCATTCCATACCCATCTTCACCGAGGACTGGGGCGCCGACGAGGAACTGGCGCTGCTAGAAGGAGCGGAGACGTATGGTCTGGGGTCATGGGCGGACATTGCAGACCACATTGGCGGCTACCGATCCAAAGACGAGGTCCGCGACCATTACTTCAACACCTACATCTACAGCTCCAAATTCCCCCTGCCTGAACACGCAAGCCCCGAAGACAAGCGTCTCAGCGAAGCGGTTCCTCGCGAGGAGTTCCAACAGAGGAAAAAGCGGAGGATCGAAGAGCGCAAAGATGCCGCCAAGAATGCGACTCCCGCGACGCCCAAGCAGAAGCCCACAGCCAGTGTGCCTGCATGTCACGAAGTCCAAGGCTTCATGCCCGGTCGTCTTGAATTCGAGACGGAATACTTCAACGAGGCCGAAGAGGCAGTGCAGCACATGCAATTTGACCCCGGCGATGGCATAAACCCAAAGACAGGGGACCTTGAGCCGGAAATGGAGCTTAAGATGACCATTATGGACATCTACAACGCTCGACTCACGGCCCGTGTCGAGCGGAAGAAGATCCTCTTTGAGCACAGGCTTCTTGAATACCGCAAAAACCAGGCGCTAGATAAGAAGCGGACAAAAGAGGAGAGAGATTTACTCAACAAAGCCAAGCCATTCGCCCGGATGATGCAGCATGACGACTTCAAGGAATTCTGCGATGGCCTCGAGTATGAGCACAATCTTCGACAGGCGATCGGGCAGCTTCAAGATTGGAGGCTCATGCAAGTCACAACTTTAAAGGCCGGCGAGAAGTACGAAGCAGAGAAGCATTCACGGCTGACGAGAGGGCCGCCTGTCGGCTCGTTCGACCGGTTAGCGACCAATCGCATCAACAAGCCCACGCTGCCTCAGGAGACGACGACTGCTACCACGGCTCTGACTGCCCCTGATCTGCCGCTCCGATCCGTCAGCGGGCAGCCGACCCCACCAAACTCAGTCCCCCCAGCGGAGAAGCCCCTGGCAAACGGTAACGCGAACGGAGTCGTTCCGCAACCAAACAAGCAGAAGTTCCAGGTTCAACCCATCCAAGGTCTCTCGACGATGAAGCTGAACGACGAGAACGCGGCGGATCTGCACTTGTTGTTGCCGGAAGAGAGGGAGCTCTGTGCGGCGCTGCACCTCAAGCCCAAGCCGTACATGGCCATCAAAGACGCGTTGATGCAAGAGGCCATACGGCAGGGCGGCAGCATGAAGAAGAAGGCGGCAAGAGAGATATGTAAGATTGACGAGAGAAAAGGGGGCAAGATTTTTGATTTTTTTGTTCACAGCGGGTGGATTGCAAAAGCATAGCTCGAGGGCCACGCTGGCATGCGGCGCGGCCCCGGATACCCTGGCGTTTATCCGGGAAGGACTGCGCTCGAAAGGAGCGTAGAAGGTGTCATGGCACCAGGAGTACCGGATGGTTGAAGCAAGCGGCTGTCGAAGTTGCCGTTTCCGCTGTCCTACGTAGGTGCATCACAGACAGCAGCATGGTAGGAAATGGGCACAGACGATCATTATCACGATTAAGATAGATTATACGAATGCAGGCTGGCCATGCACCGGAGCTAGGCAGACCCGTTGGCGCCGGCAGCTGCTCCCCTCGGCGGGGCAGGGTCTCCCGCTGCGCCGGCTGGCCTCGGCGTTGGCGGCGCTGGCTGGCGGCGCTGGCGGCGTGAAACATGTCTCGGTGGGCAGTGTCTGCTGCCAGGCAGTGGGCGGGCACGCGCGTAGCCATGATCGCCGCTTATCTGCAGATTGTGGCCCGTGCACGGATGTTGCCGCGGCGTAGCTCATTCCTGCTCCAGCGGCCCCCCTCAGCGCGCGGAGACGGCTCAGCTCGTCGAGGGTCTGACCGTCTGACGCCAACCTCCAAACCTGTGCCAGCGCCGTGCTCCGCAACGCTGATGTGGCCGCTCTGCCCAGCGTCACCGCGTCAGTGACCGCTGGTTGCTCGGCTGCCTACTGCGGTTCGCCTCCTGCAGCCTCACCCCACAGCCGCTTACCGCAACTTTCGCGCTCCGAGTACAATACCCCGTCGCAATCTCGCAGGATGGCGGGGCCGTGCGGCCAACGTCTCGCTCCAGGCCTCGATATGCCGTCCGCATTTGGCGCTCATCTCTTTCAGCCTCCACGCACGCCGGCCACTCGTTCCTATTCTTCCGGCGCGCACCGCCACGGGGTTAGGGAGAGCCCGCAAGCGAGCTCGAGCCGCAAACGCCTGCGAGCCGATCCCCCTTCAAACGGAGATATATATAACACGCCGTATTCGGCATCCATCGAAACACCGTCGATCATGCGGTCCGACGCGGAAAGCCCAGGGCCATTCGTGAATACAAGATACACATGCGCAGGCGGTCTCGACACCCCCGGTCTCGCCGTCGCTGCGAGCTACGACAACGACATCAACCATCGACACGACCCTCATATGAACTTTCGCCGCAGATGGAGCGTTGCGAGTGCTGACCAGGAGGACACAACAGCTGCCGTCATGAGCCCAGCTGCACACACGAGGAAGAAGCCCGCGTCGCCCGGTCGAGGTGGCGGCGGCTGGAGCAACTGCCTGTTCACCTTCGTCGCCGACACCGCCGGCAAGGTCTGGGAGTATGCCCGCTCCACCGGCATCGTAGGCTTCTATGCCGGAGAGGGAAAGGGGTACACTTTGCACACCCCGCCCGATGACTACGCCGCTCCTCCCACCTTCCGCGGACATGTACGGTCATCGTCATCCTTGGACATGTCACGTACCCGGGTACCCGGCCAATACCCGCTGGACGAAGACGAGTATGCGGTTCGCGCGCCAAAGCGGCCGCTCGAGGACTGCGGCCCGGATTCCTGGATCATGGTGCCCCGCATTGATGAAGAGCTTCGAGCTGCCAGCCCAGGATTGTCGAAGCGCCGGCCACCCAAAGTCAACATCTCTCGGCCAACGGGGCCGCGTCGTCCCTTGATCCCAGTCCGCCGCACTTGCTCCATCTCCAGCCTCAGCTCCCCCGGACTCCGTCCAGAGAGCGCCGCCTCAGTCCGCCGTCCTGACAGCGCCGCCTCGGTTCGTCGCCCCGACAGTGCTGCCTCGGTCCGCCGCCCGGATAGTGCTGCCTCATTCCGCCGCCCCGACAGCGCCGCCTCGAATCGGACCCGCCCCCATTCGGTTGGAAGCGCCTTCACCCTTTCGTCGCCGAACACGCCTCACTCGCCAATACCAGCAGAGATACAAATGCTCGCTGCTCAACGTCGCAGGGAGGAGCGCCAGAGGAACTCTAGCATGCGAAAAATCAACGATCGATTGAAGGACATGATCAGAGAAGGACGTGAAGCCTTGGGAAGTAGGGTCGAAATCGAGGACGCTATGGACGAGGACATGGAAGACGAAGGGTTCGCTGAAGGATGCTTCGACGGCAGGGAGAAGTGGTGAAAGGCTCGTCGGGAAGGTAAAAAGTTTTCAAATTGCGTAAAAGCAACAAATGACCTGGGTAGTTGGAGCGTTGAGCTGGACAGGGCTGTCACATCTCTACGTACACGTCCAACCCGCCTCTCCAACTACGCACAATGGTTGCTGATTTCTTTGAGTTTTGTTTTCATACCAACATCATTTCCGAGTTGGCATTTCTGTGGCATTCTTTCCAGTGTATGGCGTTTCTAGGCTTAGGCTGATACCCTATTATGGACGGTACCTTGTGTTTTCGGGAGGGCTGGGGGGTTCATGGAGTATGCAAACTAGCTGGGGCAGCGCTCAATCCTCGAATTTCCTCTTCAAACGGCTATCACATAGCAAGCAATCGAAAACACGCATCTGATCTCTCCCATCCATTTCCAGGCGGCTTCCTCGGACATCGCTTCAAAAATCTGAGACATGGTCACGAGCACGGAAAACAGATAAGCGTTGATCATGAGCGCATTCCTTGTGCAACCGATCCGTGGCCTATCAGAGGTATGTGCCTGTGTACAGCAAAACATTCGCGCAGACGGACTGGGCGTGCCGATGAAGAAAAACATGACGCAATGCAAGGACGCCAATGGTGGGCTAGGACCTAAATAGGGAGATAGCCTGGTATCCGGGGCTCTTGTGGCTGTGGCAAAGCGGAAACGGGTCGACCATCTATTTGTCCTGGAGGCCTAACGCAAGCCGCTCGTCCCAACGTCGTGCCCGTTTCTGTGTCTATCGTGCACACGGACCTTCACATCACAATACCCGCATGCATTGCAGGCCGTCCGTTTCTGCCGTTTGCCGAAGCGTGCCCACGAGGCACTGCGCCAATTCCGTCCAGCAGCCAGGGGGCGCTGGCTGGAGGAAGCAGATGGCTTGGGCCACGCGGAATAGGAGAGCTGCCCTGTCCAAGCCTGATTGATGATGAGAGGGAGGGTGGTCCGCTGGCGATTGGCTGTCAGGAAGATAGAAGCACCCCGGCCTTTTCCCCGCATTGGCAGCGAACATCATCCCGCCAGAAAGACACTGCCACCGTCCCAGCTTCTTTCCCAGCGCCATGGGCAAAGACATAGTCAGCCAATGTACACGGCGGGGCACGCGACTGCGGGCAGCAAGGGCGGAAGCATCTGTGCCGTCCCACGCCCTCATCAGTCCCACACCCAGCGGGCCAAGGCTTGGGACCGCACCGCACCCACACCTCGCAAGGTACTACAAGAAACCTGCCCTGCCCCGTTATCTCGAACCATGACTTGATTCCCTGCTTTCCACCGTACCGCAGAAGTGAGCTGCTGGCAGTCTCCGCAACCTCTGCTCCACTTCACTTCTTGACTTCCCTTGCCACAGCAACAATTTCGTGTGAATCATGACTTGCAACATCGCAGCCACCCCGTTCGACATCGAGCCCCTCCCCCTGTATCGAAGGGATCCCGAGACCAGCTCTCTGCTCTCGTCCGCGCCGTCGTACGTCACGCCCCCATCGCCAATGAGGAGACGCCGCGAAACGCGTGCCTAACTCCGTTGAATGATGTCCCGTCAGCTACACCTCCGAGGCACCCACCTACCACAGCTCCGCGCGCGACAGCCAGATCGTCGGCCCAGACCAGCAAGCACAGCAGCGCCAGCGCCGACAGCCGCAGCCCTACTACGTCAGCACCTCCCTCCTCGACATCTCCACCCCGCCACCGACGCGGTCCCGCAATACCGCCGCCGCCGCCGTCGCCGCCACCACCATCACCAGCGAGCCACCAGCACCGACCAACCGCCAACAAGACAGCAGCGACGCCCAGCGCCTCCCTCCCGTCCCCCGCCCCGCCGGCGGTCTGCCCTCCCCGACGTTCGCCCCGGGCTTCACCTCGCGCGCGCCCATGAATGTCGCGATGGTGGCATCCGACGCCGACGCCTGCGCCTCGTCGCTGCAGAGCGGCTACAACATGGGCGCGTGGAGCAGCGTGCGGGCGGGCAGCCACCTGCAGCAGCGGCAGTACGAGCGTGTCGCCATGCGCCGCGCCAGCCGCGCCGCGGGCATCGACCGCACCAAGGCGGTGCTCGAGAGCATGAAGCTGGGCAGTGGCGGCGGCGGCGGCGGCGATAATCCCCCCAGTCCTATGGATAGCGCGAATAGCGGCGGCAGGGCGGAGACGATACCGCCGTCGCCTTCGACGAGTGCGGAGGCTCAGGTCGGTGATGGTAGTGGTAGTAATGGTGGTGGTGGTGTTGATGAAGGAAGCGCTTGGGAGGCGGGTACGGAGATGTTGGCGGTATCGGCGCCGGACGGGGGGGCCGGTGCTGCTGATGCTACGGCGGCGGAAGTCTCGGCGGCGTCGCTTTCTGCTTCGGAGCCGACGCTGCCGCTTGAGGATCCGGCGCTGGTGGGAGAGCATGCGGCGAAGAAGGCCAGGCAGCAACGGTTGTATAGGGAGGCGTGTCTGAGGCAAGATGGCGACATGCGGTTGGTGCAGGAGAATAAGAGCTGGGATTTCATGCTTTCCCAGATGGCTGATTGGTATGTTCTCCTGTTATTAGGGTTGACGTATATTTTTTGCTAAAAGCGACACAGGGAGGAGCGAGAGCGTAGCTGGGGGAGGTTCAGGTCAGAAGTAGAAAGGAGACAGGGTCGGATTCACGCAATGGGCGTCGGTATCGGTAGGTTGAGCGGCTTCGCAATCGGTGATGGTGCCCGTAGCGGAGGCAAGAAGTGGCCTTTCGGGAAAGGTAAGAGTAGCAGCCGCTGAGATCCGGCTGGAGTTTGCGGTGGTTTTGATTGCTCTGTTGAAGTTCAAAGAACATTTGAGAATGCTAGGGGATCGGCATCTCGAAAACACCACTTGCAGGAATCGAGGTATCCCAAAGCATGGGTTGGATGGATGGCTACCGTGACCCTCTCAGGGCGGATGATGGGATGAGATTTCATATACAATATGGTACATATTGAGTACAGTTGAAGCAAAATCGATATTTCTTGATGCGCTTTGATCGAACCTTTCATCGCCGTCGGTATACGTTTCCCGGGGACGCTCAACTGGAAGTAAAGGGAGACCATCGCGTGGTAAGCCCAGATAGTTGGTGAAAACGAAAAGCGTCACACCTGCTGGGAAGAAAGCGGAAACTCCCCAGTTGCGCTATCTTTTGCTGCCATGAACGCTTCCGTGAGTTCCTATTCGCGGACTGCCATGCACCGCGTAAAGAGTTCTAGTCAGCACAATGGCCCGGCTTTCCCGACGGATAAGAAACCACGGTGGCCGTTACACCCAGGCTGTTCGCTCAAAGGCTGCAGGAGTATGTATGACTGCAACTTTTTGTTCAATTGTCCATAAACAGCATGGCCCATGCCACTCTCGATCCGTAGCCATTCGCCAAAATGCATCATCTTTCTACCATCCCTGTCTCTTAAGGTACTGCACTCTCGACACGGTGGCCTTGAACCCATCCATGAAGCGCTTCCTCCAACGTTCACTCGCCAGTCTCTTCCTCTTCAGACCCGGACGCTCGTGGAAGCGCTGTTTGTTGAAGTCGCCGCGGACTCGGTTGCGTGCGCAGATGACGTCCAGGTTGCGCAGACCCTTGGCCAGGTCGACGTTGTCGCGGATGGTCACGCTGCGGCCGATGGTCGGGCCCAGGCGCGGCAACGTCGCCGGGTCCGGCGGCTCGACCAGGCTCTTCTGCTTCGCAGCCGCCCCCCAGTAGGGATGGTTGAAGAGGTTTCCCAGGGAGTTGCCGGTGGCCGATGTCGTGCGGCCCATGTTCGGAATCAGACTGTCGATCCGGCCGCTGGTGCTGCTGCTCAGCGCGCCGTCAAAACGCGCCGCCGCTTCATCGGCCGAGGAGCCGCTTGGCACGTTGTATGCAGTGGTATTGCGGTTCGTGTGTTGGGCGCTAGGAGACGCGAAGCGCGAGGTGCGTTTGGTGCCTTGAGGGCGGTTGAAGTCGATTCTGTCGTCGAGGAGGGAGCTGATGGATGCGGCCTTCGAGGGAGCGGCCTGATTTTGCGAGGGCTGGCTGGGACTGTCCGAGGGGGTCTCGGTGGGGTAGGAGGGCACAGGCTCCTGCTGCCCTCTCGCGGCGGAAACGGAGTAGGTGCGAGTAGAGAGCATGCAGATGCGGTTCTGGCACGGTGGCGAGAGGACGGCTGCGGGCCTGCAGCGCAGCAGCGCCTCACCTATCCTTCGCACTTCCATCTTCTGTGTCGCCGTAGTTAGGAGCAGCGCCTCGCAAAGTGTCCCCGGGATGACGTACGTGGGCAATGGATTGAAGGTGCTGGCGGACGGGGTCTGGCGATGAAATTGATCTTCCGCACATGGTCCGAGCGCGAAGAAGCTCGACGCGACGGGCCTCCAGCACTTTGCCTGTTGGCCCGCTCCTCGACCTTCACCACTCCATTTGCGTCACTCTTTTCGGTGCGCGCTCCACTCACCACCAACACTGCTTCTCACCGGAGGCTGCCTCTAAGTTTCACCATCTCCCGCTCGAGAGTCATTGACGTGCAGCGACACAAACATGTACAACTTTCGTACGTCCACGCCGCGCGCATGCCTGGAGCTACTTCCCTTCACGACATCTTGCTGATCTCTTTTAGCCGGAGGACAGTATGGTCGGCCGCCGGGCTACGGCGCCTTTCCAGGCGCTCAAGGCGCGCCGCCAGGCATGGCACCGCCGCCGGGAATGGGTAAGGACAAGAAAGCTTCGACCGCAATGCACGCGATACCAGACTGACGGCACATGCTTGCAGGCCCGCCTCCAGGAGCCATGCCAGCTCCCGGTGTTACCCCTCCCCCCGGCATCCAGCAGTCGCAGTCGCCGCTGCCCGCTCGCCCGGGCAACCTGCCCCCGAACTTCGCTCCACCAGCTGGAATGCCGAACATCAACTTCAACGCCCCCGTCATTCGTTTGGGCACGACCGGACCAAGCGCAAAGGGAGATGATCGCAAGGGGGGAGGCGAGTCCACCTCCGGGGGCCCCAGACGTGCCGGGCTGGGCAGCGACTATCGCGGCTCGGATTCGCGGGCACAGCAGCGCGAGTCGATGATGTCGCTGCAGCCTCCCACACGAGAGGAAATTGCACGCACCATTTTTGTCAGCAACATCACAGAGGGAATCGGCAGCGATGAGGGGTTGGAGAGGATTTTGCGCTGTGCGGGCAGCCTGCGCCGGTGGACGAGAGCAACGGACGCGGACAACAAGCCTTGTAAGTTCGGCTTCGCTGAGTTTGAGGACGCCGAGAGCTTGGAAACAGCCGCCGCCATATTCCAAGATGGCATTGAGGTGCCGGCCAAGAAACAGGAGCCTGGCAAGGGTGAAGACGAGGAGGTCGAGATGGCACGACTTTTGGTACGTTTCCAGGATATGCTTTTGACTCCAGAAGTATTTACAACATCTATAGGTCGTTGTCGATGAGGCTTCCATGAAGTATGCCGAGGAGTGGAAAGGCAAGCGTGATGAGGACGAGGCGGCCTCCCAATTTCGCGTCGATACTGCTAAGGACGCTCTCACAGGTGTCCTGGCCAGTCTCAAGAACCCTCGCGAGAAAATCGCCGAGGATGCGGATGGAGATGTAAGTATGGCGGGCGCTGAGACAAAGGTGGACGGCGCAACTGGCGAAGTTGTCACCATCCCTCTGACCGTCGAGGACGAGCTTTCGGACATTCCACCCGAGATGCGCGAAACTGTTGCAGCAGAAATTGCGGCTTTCCGTGACAGGAGCGTTCGTAGGGACTTGGAACGTCTGGCACGCGAGGAAGAGATTGAAAAGCTCGAACGCCAGAAGAGTTCGGGAGCTCGCTACAACCGTCTTGCCTCACCGCCTGCTTCAGCCCCTAGCGGTCCTGCCGGCGGAGCCAACGGCATCCCTCTTGGTCCTAGCAAGCGCGGTGTTGAAGGTGCCCCCAGTGGCCCGAAAGCCTTCCAGGGGGCTCAGATCCCCAAGGACTACCAGAATGGCGTCGCTTTCGTTGGCGGCGGTACAATCTCCGTCAGGGACATGGCCAATTGCCCGTATATTAATCGACCCGACGAGGATGATTCGGCGAGTGACGAGGAGTTGGAGCAGCGCCGTAGGAAGAAGAAGGAGGAGGAAGAAGAAAGGGCATACCTTGAGTACGATCGTCGTTGGGTGAGCCGCGAAACCTCTCGCGCCTCTGCGCTGGAGCGTGAGGAGGCACGTGAGAAGAAGGAGGCGGCCACGCGTGAGGCGGAGATCGAGGCGATGCGCAAAAGGTTGGCTGAGTGGGATGACGACGCCGAGGCAACCCGCCGCACCGAGGAGTACTACGCGGACAGAACCATGTGGCTACGTAACAGATCTGCTTTCCGTGCGCGCGAGGCTACTGCGGACGACAAGGATCGCAGCGCGGAGGAACGCGAGAAGCAGAAGGAAAAGGAGAAGAGCCAGGAAGCTCGCGACTTGGCCGACTCGTTCCTCTCCCAGACGGCAAAGGATATCGCGGACCGCAACACGCCCACGACCCCCCGCGAGCCGGCGCGCTTCAAAATGTCTCTTGGTGCCGCAGCATCGCAGCGCGCACAGCAGGCAGCGCCACGTCGTACCGCTGCCGAAGTCGAGGGCCTGCTCGAAGACGAAGAGGACGCGGCGGCTGCCAACGCGCAGCCTCGCAAACTTATTCCCATCAAGTTCGACAGCTCGGACGTGGCGACCATGTCAGAGGAAGAGCGTCAGCAGGCAGCGCAGCAGCTTGCGCGCGAGATCCCGGTGGATCACGATGGGTTGTGGGCGTGGGAGGTCAAGTGGGACCACCTGCTAGACGAAGTTATTGGCGAACAGCTGCAGCCGTTCGTTGAGAGGAAGATTGTGGAATTGCTCGGGATCCAGGAGCAGGCCATTGTGGAGGTTATTCTCGAGCACATCCGCAAGAAGGGCACGCCTCAAGCGCTCGTGGACGAGCTGTCTATGGTAAGTCGGGGTTCTTTGCTCGTTTGCACGCACTAGGTGCTGACAATGCTTCTCACTCTAGGCACTGGACGAGGAGGCTGAGGAACTGGTCCGCAAGGTCTACCGCATGATCATTTTCTTCACGGAGAGCGAGAAGCGGGGTCTTTCTGCTTGAGCTTGATGTTTGATTGCCCTCCTCACTACTAAAACGGCGTCGTCGACAGACACATGGCACTGTCTCTGTTCGTTCACGTCTACCTCGCAGCCGCAATTGCAGCCCCGAAGCAGCGCAATGGAGCCATGACTCCAAGTCTTCCCATTTGGACTGGGATCAGGACCTGAGCACGTTCTCTAGCCGGTGGCAGGAAGGAAACAATGAAAGTAGGATAGGAAGGGGGG